AAGAAGAAGAAGAAGAAGAAGAAGAAGAAGAAGAAGAAGAAGAAGAAATAATCGCTCAGCTTTCTAGGTCAATGATAAGTTAGCATTCATGGCCAGAAGCTGGAGGAGAAATAGTTTGAGTGTAAAGCAATCGTAGAACACCAGCTTACAAAATGTAATCACCTTCACTGAAGCACACTTTTTCATTCTTATGAATGAGGCCATACATAGCACATATATGTCCTTTATAGCTCACATTTTTTAATCTCTAAAATAAAAGATAACATTTTTTACAACAGAAACAATGGATCATGTTACAGTCCAAATATGTATAAACACTATTTAAAATGCCTTATGTGGGAGAGATTTGCACTGTAGTTGAGTGGCCAATAAATTTAAATAAATAAATATTGGTCATGTTAAAAAAAAAAAAAACCAGACATATCTGTATTACATTTTTTTGTGTCCACTGCTGAAATAAGAGAATTTAAAATTTTTATAAGGTGATCTTTCTAACTGACATCAGTCTCTATATATTTTTGAGTTAATTTCATTATCTACATTTTCTGGAAATTGTCTCATTTATTTCTCTGTTATTTATATGTTTGTTTATAAGGCTTTCCAAATTTCCAGCTCTGTTTTTATTTGCAACTGCACAGTTATTTGCCAAATTCTTGGCCTTCCAAACACATATTTAGTGGAAATGAGGAAGAGGGTCATATTTTTTATTTCGATCATTCCATATGTATCTCTATTAATAATTTTGTTCTTTATTGTTCTTTCTCTTTAATCCTTTCCCTTTTATATATTGATATATATTTTGATGTTTTCAAAAATCAATTGTTCTGTTGTTGAATAACTATTTTGCTATACAATTCAATATTAATATTTTATTAGTGTATAACACAGAATTCTTACTCGTGTGTGAGAGACCATAGACCTTTGAGTGTGTTTTGAAAATAGGCCAAAACAACTATATATAGGTATACATATGTAGAAGCTAAGTAGTTATATATATTAGTTCACTTTTTGTTATTAATGCACATATTTATGCACATATTTATGCCCCAAATGTTAATGTTGCCATCTTCAATTTTTATCTTCAATTTTTTTAGTTACATTCATACTTTCCCTGGATTTAGGTAGGGCCTCAATATATTTAATTGGAGAGTGATGACATCTTATCTTCACACACCTAAATATTATTAGGCTTTCACAAAGGCAGGTTTTAAAAGCCCTCTCCTCTGCACTATTCTCAGGAAGATACCACAATATTCCTCTATCTAGTTGCCTCTGCCCCTAGGAGGAAACAATTTCACATTGTTATATTTAGATGTGTCAAAAATTTCATTCTCCCTTTTCTAGCAATAATACTGGAGCAGTCAAGCGATTACTTTGTAGCTTTCCTACAAGCTGATGAAAACATCCAGATCACCTAAAATGAACTAGGTTTTGCTATTTAGCTTCCAGTCAGTATCAGATTCTTGCTGAATACAAAGTTCCACTCACATGAACCTTATTTGTTCCCTTATTTTCTCTTTGTTTGTTTTGTTGCTTCTGGCCAGAATAAAGAGGGCCAATGCATAATACATTGGCTGTGTTCCCAAGCCTGGGGCACTGAATGTGTTAAGGACCCCATTTCTTATTGGCTTTACTGTTAACTGTTATTTTGGCTAATGTGTATATTTATTTTGCTTGTTTTTAGTGTTTTCAATGTTTTTAGTTTTGGAATTGTAAGCCATCCACAATCATGAATTGAGATGGGGGGTTACTATAAAAATGGAATCAATAAATGAAAATACAGTGCAAACAACTCTAAATAATCAGGAAAACAATGTTTCCCATCTAAATATACTTTTATACATATTAATAACATCCAGAACCCCTGCTTTGAGTCCTAGATTGAGACCTGAATACATGGAGAGTAAAGGGAACTTTCCTAAGAGGTCTGTAGGGGGCGTGCATAAGCGCACCAACGTGCCTACCGTCCCTGTCCTATTGTTTCTCTTATTCTTCTTTTATTTTTCTTATATGTACCCATTTCATGTATTCACAACTATGTATACACTTATACTTATTATCTTGTAAACAATTGGCAAATCAAATAAATAAATAAATAAAATAAAGTGGGATAGATTGTACCCATAATCCTGTTTTCTTCCCACTTTAAGCCTGCCATACATTTTAGTAAATGTCTCCATGCTAATATGTAGAAGAAAAAGTTTGCATGCAGAACAAAAATAAAGGCATATACACCTATACACAGATGTTGTGAATGAATTTACAGCAGACAATGGGAAAGCACCATTAGAACAGCAGAGGTGAAAGTAAAACTGTAAAAAATAACAACAGTGGATACTAATGATTTTTTTTGTGTGTGTTTAAATGGATAAAGGGAGGGAGATAGATGGGCAGTTAAGAAGAATGAAAAACAAACACATGAATGAATAAATACATATATACATCTATCCATACCCAGGCTAATGTTGAAGAATTTAATATTAAAAGGGACACTGAACTTGGTACACTGTATTGGTACAAAATATTTGGGGAAAATGTGGACTAAAAATATTAAATTTATTCTGTGCATTAATTTAAGAAAAAAAATATAAAATGATGCATAGAATGTAAAATGTATAAGAATGTTTCAAGGAAAAGTTAGAAATGTAGAAAACAGGATGGAACTTACATATGGTGGACCTGTGAAGTGGCCAAAAAAATTTGGTCCGTGATCCCCAGAACATTCCTGAAAATAACAGGAATCCATTTTCAGATGAAACCAAAACTGGACATTAGGGTTTATGGAACAAGAACTCAGTAAAAGCATGCTGTCTTAATATTGTATAAGATCACTGCAGAATATCATATGCAGAAAAATGGAAAAATTGCTTCAATTGTTGATGATTGCATAGTTAAATTTAAGAACTTGGTGGAGATGGCAAAACTGACATGTTTCAAGAGAGACAAATCTATAGAGGCTTTTATTAAAGACCATGTAAGGGGTATGTTATAAAAGAAGAGAAAAATAGCTGGATGATAAAGAGCTTTATAGATAACAGAGAAATAATAAAAAATTAAATAATGAATTCAACAGTACAAACCAGAAAGAAATAGTTAATGCAGCCATTAGGAAAGTGAAGGGCAGAAGTAGACTATGTTTTTTAAAAATATTTTAGATGTTTAGTTGTCCATTAGCAGATTTATATTTTTATATATGTTTATGTGTTGTGTTTCTATGTTTACTATGTGTACAATTTTAATAAATATTATTTTTAAAAACTTTACGTAAGTAGATGCAATTATGACATATATATCTATATAAAGGCTGGGCAAGCATGGTGATTAAATTAGGAGCCTCCCAGAGTTCATTGTAAGAAGAGAAACTATAGACATGTTTGAAATACATTTCTTAAAAATTAAGCTATTTCTGAAAAAAAGATATCAGATTTTGGCTACAGTATGAGGAGGCCTGATCTTGGTCACCATCTCTCTTCATAAGCCAGGGCACCAAAAAAAGTTTTAAATTATTTTGAAATGATTTACTTTGATTAAAGTAAACAAAATTTACTTTTGAAGTAAAGTAAAGTTCCACCCTCAACACCAAAAGGGCATTAAACTGGGGAAGGCTGTTTTCAAGACAGGGCATACAAACACACGCAATTCTTGGAAACAATTTTAAAAGCCCATCATAACCAAGCACTTTGAATCCTTTGAATTGAGCACAATAATGTGCAGGAAGCAAAAAAAAATTGTTTCAAAATGTTTATGCTTTGTTTTGAATGATCTCTGACAGTTTGTTGCCTTCAACAAT